GCGTACATTATGCGCTTTATTAAAAATTGTCGCACACGGATAAAGTCACAGCGCCTTAATGGTTGTCTTTCGGTTGATGAATTGGATTATTCGACTAGAGTTTTATCAAAAATTGCACAACAACAGTCCTTTTCAGAAATTTATGATAAATTAAAGTATGATAAACCTTTAAAATTTAATCGTGAAATTTCAAGTTTGAATATATTTTTAGATGAACACGGTTTAATTCGAGTGGGGGGCCGACTAACGCGTTCTGAGTCCCTTCCATATAATAAAAAGCATCCCGTGCTGTTGTGTGCTAGGCATATATTTACACGGCTTCTCTTTCAATATAAACATAAAGCTTTATTGCATGCAGGACCTCAGTTGTTATTAGCTACAATTAGGGATACTTGGTGGCCCCTGAGAGGGCGTAATTTGGCAAAACAAACAGTGCACGCCTGTGTGAAATTCGTACGTATGAAAGCTAAACCTTTAAGTATTCAAATGGGTAACTTACCTCCGGAACGACTGGAGCCTGGATATCCTTTCATTCGATGTGGCGTGGACTATGCTGGGCCATTGCTTATATTAAACCGTACCGGAAGAGGGGCAAAGTTATATAAATGTTATGTTTGTCTTTTTGTCTGTTTCACAACGCGCGCTGTACATTTAGAGTTGGTCACAAGTCTAACTACACAAGCATATTTATTGGCCTTGAAGAGATTCATCTCTAGACGTGGTAAACCCTTACAAATTTATTCTGATAATGGGAAAACATTCGTAGGTGCTTTAAGGGAATTTTCTAATTTTTTAGTTGAAAATGAATCAGATATTAAGGAGTTTACAGCTAATAATTCAATAAAGTTTTCATTTATTCCGCCTTACTCGCCTCACTTTGGTGGTTTGTGGGAGGCGGGAGTTAAGTCTTGCAAATTTCACTTGCATCGTGTTGTAGGCAATGCACACCTTACTTACGAGGAGTTGAGTACGATGTTAGCACAAATTGAAGCTGTCCTCAACTCCCGACCAATGACACCAATGTCCACAGACCCTAATGATTTCCTTCCTCTCTGCCCTGCTCATTTCCTGATAGGCCGTCCGCTCACTGCACCAGCCAGCCAAGACCTCACGGCGACAGCTGCACAACGCCTTCCTCGCTATGATCGTGTGGAGCAGATGCGACAGCATTTTTGGAAGAGGTGGTCCAAGGAGTACATTACTGAACTTCAGAAGAGAACGAAGTGGCAAACCAATCAGGACTACATCGCCTCTAATGCTCTTGTTCTGATTAAGGAAGACAATCTGCCTCCCTTGAAGTGGCGGCTGGGACGGGTGCTGGAGACTTTCACTGGAAAGGATGGAATCTCACGCGTCGCCAACATCAAAACAGCGGCGGGCGTAATCCGTAGATCATTCGCAAAAATCTGTCCACTGCTGAGTCCTGACGAAAAACACACCTGCGACTCATCGACCCCTTTGGAACCAGGTGCTTCCAAGGCCGGGGGCATGTTAAGAACGTCTAGCGCCATCTAGGACCTTGGAAAGGAACTGAGGGGATTGAAGTTTAAACAGGAAGTAACGCTCTTTTGATTGTATTTGGTTCGTTACTTTTTGAAAATGTCAACGATCGCTTATATATATAGATCACACTTGTAACGAGGACACTTACCAAATGAATTTTGTCTGTACTACTTACCTTAAATATACGCATTAATAAAATATAATTAAAATAAAGGAATTCATTGAAGAAAGCCCTACCGACCTGAATATTTCACCAGAAGAACATACACAAATTGACAGGTACCGTAGATAACGAATTACATCTACTCAAATGGCACACAAAATATATCAAAACACACTTTGGTCTTAGAATAGATTTAGTCCAGATAAGTTATAACATTCCATTCAATGAACTTTAGTTTTTTTCCAAATTTCATGTAGGTACGTATTTTTCTTAAGAAGAGAAACTACGTAAGAATTACGTTTGTAACTAATTCAGGTATCTCTCGAAAATAATACTTTTTCTGAATGAAATGTTAAACGTGTTGGCCAGTAACGACGTTTTTTTTGTGGTAACTCGAACTTTTTGCCATAGCTACCGCTCCTATATGAGGATGTCGAACTTCCTTTTAGTAGCACTCGGGTCCAACATAACTCGACCCCTGAAAAGTAACAAAGGCAAGTTTTTTGGTATGGTTTATGGCGTAAATTACAGACGGGTCACCTGAAAGTAAATGAAATGCAACTTAAGACGCATAAGTGCGTTGCAACTTTTCAAAGCTTAATCGCAGTTTCCATCATCCAATCTCCAATTGGAGACCCATTCTCCTCTCCTTAACTCTGGAGCCCCCTCCAGAGAGAGGAGATTGGGCTTCAGGTACCCTGAATCAGTCGGTGCAAAGCAATGAAGAAAGAAGGTGCATTTCTATTGAAACGTCGCGTCTGGTAACTAAACTTACTTTGTGTCATCTATCGTATATATCATGGAGAGTGCTCCGAGTAATTGTTCGGCCTAATACTGGCCGCAACTTTCCGCCATCGTTTCACACGGCAAAATTCTCGTCCCCACCACTTGGATAATTAGCACTCCACTACTGTGCGCTTTTAGAGACACTTTTTGCCTCGCACTACCAACCTTTAGAACGGGTTATCGTCTGCGGTTTTTCCGGACCGATACGACCTTCAAGAAAAGAGCGTGCTCCTTCCTCAAAGGCCGGCAACGCGCTTGTGACTCCTGAGTTCCAAGCGTTCATGGGCGGCGATAGTCGCTTTCCATCAGGTGACCCGTCTGCTCGTATGCCCGCTATCCATAAAAAAAAAATAGGGAGTAAGTGGCACTTTACAGGTCTAATATGTATCAGATATATGATAGTCACGAAAGTCTAAAAACAAATTATCCTAGGTCATTTTATGTAATCTTTTATTTACATAGCATTTAATGCCAGTTACTGTTGTATTAAAATACACCGCGTATTCCTAGTATACCTGTAAACAGTCTTATGTTTTATTGTCAATACTGCATCGATCGCGTACTAAACTAGCGCCCTAATAACAAAAATCTAATGTACCAAAATATAGTACATATATAGCTCATATATGTACTATAATTTGGTACATTAGATTTTTGGTGTCAAACGGTCAATCGTGATTCATGACAAAGTAACGCATTTATATGTTACAACATTGACAACCTATCGTGTTACAGAACATCAATATATACCTACCTGTATAATTTTATTTTCAAACCAATCAATGTCGAATTCGTGCTCGGGTAAATGACTTCACTGAAATCGTTATTAGGTACTCATACTTTGTGGATAGCAGATATAAAGTTTACGTATGCATTTATAATTTGAATTACATGTTGTTTTTTAATATAATCTCACTAATTAATTTTTACATAAAAAAAATCGAGTTTTTTTTTAGATTTCTACCATATCTTTGGAACTTTTGTTCCAAGAAATTTTATCTAACCTTCACTTGTGAAAACCTTCTACGGGCAGTCCCACCGGGGTTTTCGGTCGGGCACCGACTAAAACCACAGGGTTTGTAACTCTTCGCCTCAAATAGGAGGGATCCGGCAACAGTTGTTATTAAAACTTCCGAATCTAGTAGATACATAAACTGCTTTGGATAACCTTATAAGCTCTAATATGCTTTATTACCTATTCACTTTCTACCCTAAAAGAATATTTTCTCTAGTGATGTAACGACTTGATTTTACAAACCGATTTAAACCGGTTTGGACATGAACCGAGTTGAATCATCCCGCTAGTACCATCGCGCTCGGGGCTCCTGTTTTAGTGACCTAACAAAACTGATTTATCTACCAACGACGCGACACGACAGTAAATATTTGTCAATTTACCTACAAGCACAAACTATATTATTGCGTTCCTACAAAATCGGATACGGTTAGCGCGCGTCGCTTAATAATAATTTAATACATAAACCGATTTACTAACCGTTCGGATCTAGCTAACATATTTTTCTTATATCCACCAAATGAGAAAAAAAGAAGGCATGGTAATTGTGTTACTTGACTGGGTAGTCTGTTGTTTTGCCCTTAGCTCTGAACAAACTACCAATCAATTCATACCGGTTAGTATAGGTAATATCAAGTTATACGCTTGTATATAAACTCGGTTGGGAACCGCTGACAAACCGTAAAACGACGGTTTAATCGATCCAGTCGAATCATATTGCACATTAGTTTCGTATGTTACATTCTCTCGTTAACTCGTCGTACTGTTCAAACCGCGGTTTATTGCAAGTACAATGGTTCGGTTTGGAAACCGAATCTTCTGACCGTAACATCTCTAATTTTCTCCCAATTTATATGGAACCAATCTTGAATAAAAATAATTTGATTTATTTGATTAAAAAAGAGTCATTGCCATTAGTTTACAACGTATCCTTAGAATCAAAGAGACCCAAGCCCAAGTCGAAAAACCGCCTTTGAATGACCTAATATGGTGGTTGGGGGCGGTAACCCCGGTAACCTTACTTATTGGGTGACATGCAATAAAGGAATTTTATTGCTTAATACCGTTTATATGTGAGGCCATGGTTTATCACTCCGGTCGGGCCGGCCCATATGTGCCGAACACGAATGGCGTAGTGGCTTAAGCACCGCCGCTTCCTACTACGCTGAGTGTTATGGGTTCGATCCCCACATGGGACGACATTTTGTGGTATCAGCGTCTTTGTTTTTGGCATCGGTGGTAACTCAAGCTGCAAAATTGACAAAAAGTGTTGTGTTATTCCCAAACTAAACGTTTCTTTTTTAATGTATGTTTATAATGTCAACTGCGAAACAGGATATATTCCTAGTGCGAGAGTCGTCTTTAAAAAAAAGAAAGAAAAATAATGGTTCTCCCAAGACAAAAATGTAGACGTTTATACATTTTATCATAAGAAATATTCTATCAATTTTAGAATCGCCTCCTTTTTTTAAGCCGGCTAAAAATTAAACATCACCAGTGTATCAAAATCCTAATGAAAACCTTTTTTTTCAGCTGCCAGTGCCGTGTTTATGGGAGGCCTTTTGGGAATAGCCGGTCGATTCTCGGACGAATACATGGGTGCGGTGATAAGCGGCCAATCTCTAGGCGGTATCATAGCAGCCGTAGCCCAAATTATATCACTCGCCTTCAAAATATCGCCTTTACACAGTGCTTTGATATATTTCATCATGGCTGACATTTTGGTCATCACCTCAATGGTCTCTTACGCGTTCCTGTATAAGATTGACTTCTTTACTTACCATATCCTAAGAGGGGGCGGGGGTATAGCCGCTAACAGACATAGGGCCATTTCATTAACCGCTATCATTAAGAAAGTGTGGGTATATGCTTTTAGTTCGTTCGCTGTGTATGCGATAACTATGGCTGTGTATCCGGCTGTGACTGTACTTGTGGAATCGCATCCGACTACTGCAGGGACGGATTGGAACAGTAAGTATATGCCAATACTAGGTTTTGTGTCCGCGACTTTGCTTTAGCTATTTTTCCACCATCACCACCATCCATATATAATATGATGTGTACCCGACATACAGTATTTTTTTTTGGTTGGTATATATGTCTCTTCCTGTAATCCTGACAATGTTTATGTAAAATTTCATCTGAATCGGTCAAGTAGGCCATAAGTAGGTAGGCTCTGCCATGCCCCTCGCGGGGCAAAAACTAATGTTGGGGTGCGGGAAAGAACTACTTATACAAGAGACTTGCTTTATCACCCATCTTGCATATAGAGTAAAACATTTACACTAAAATAATAAAGTTGAAGAATTTATTTGGTAGAACATTCGTATCTCAGAAACTACCAGACCGATTTGAAAAATTGTCCTAGAATTCGATAAACAATTCTTGAGAGAGATATAACATCAGGCTACAATCCTTAGCAGCTTAGCGTTTGCTTTACCGAGGTTGAAAAAGCAGAGAATCAGCTGGTGTAAATTATAACTGTGAATTAAATGTAATCTGATCCGACTGTTCTGTGTATCGGCGTAGGTACCTATCTGCGAATACGAGTCACACAACGGCTCGATAAAAATTTAGGGTTGGCTTGTACGTTTACATGAAATAGCAGATTATTGAGGCCCAGGTACAGCTTACTACTTCCAAATATATTCGTCATAACTTTTTTTTAAATACATTTGTCTCAAAAGTACGACAAGCAATGCTCATTTGATAGTTACACACTAGTGTTCTGATATAACAAGATGCTTCTACAAACTTGATAACTTTTGCAGATATATTCTTCGTGCCAGTGGTGAACTATTTAATATTCAACTGCGGAGATTATGCGGGACGATTAGTAGCTGGCTTCGTATTACGAGTAAGTACTTACTTTCTAAGGACAGGCTTATGTCCAGCATTGGACTATTAAAGGCTGTTGATGACGATGATGATAACTTACACATTGCTGACATTCAAGTCTGAGGACCAAGGAACAAAAAACTATTATGAATTATGAACCCTTGCCTCACAATCAATTATAATTATTAACAATTTTTTGTTTTTTTTTTAATCTTTTTTTTTTTTAATAAGGGGTTTTTATCCAAAAGGATACGCCAACCCCTTATTAACAAATCGTATGATAGTTTCAACCTCACTTGTCGGTCGGTAGTGCAGTGGTAGCGTATGCGACTGCTGTGCTGAGGTCTCGGGTTCGATTCCCAGGTCTGACTAAGTGTTTGTATGATCTGCAATCATTTGTTTCAGAGTTTGGGTGTTTTCTATGCATAATATGTATGTATTTACCTTTTATGACAGTTGAGAGATCAAAGTTGATCGGAACTGAATTGAGACCGAACTTTTATTACGAGAATTAGCCTTCAGTACTTTTGTTTTAAATGAAAAAGTGTTAGTGTCCATATTGATACAAAGCTTATATTAAACCATACTTAAACATAACTTTTGCAGCCAAAGAACCAGTGGATAATAGCAGGAGCCAGTATCGTCCGCGTCATATTCGTCCCGATGCTGATGTTATGCAACGCTCTGCCTCGCCAGCACCTCCCAGTCGTGTTCCTCTGGGACTGGGAGTATATCATCATCATGATAGTGTTCGCCTTCACCAACGGGTACCTCACCAACATTGTAATGATCAACTCTACTAAGTGAGTATATAAAATGTAATGTTATGTCTGAATATAGTATACCATGGTCCAGTGGCGTGCACAGGATTATGACACTAGGTATGCAGAGGAGTAGTCGGTCACTTTTTCTTTTATAGATTTTTAGCACAAGTCTTAGATGTACGACTATTCATGTACATCTTCAACGGGAACGCAGACAAAACAGCGATAGATCGTCGCGGCGGAAGAAATTCTAATAAGTAAAATAATAAACTAAAATATTATAACTACTCACCATGCATCATGCTTCTTTGCTGCGGAATAGAAATTATTTAAATCTGAATATCCCGAATCAGTCCACACTGTACTAGAATTACTAAACAGTATGCAAGGAAAACAATATAATTTAATCGTGTGTACACAACCACACAGCCAGTTATACGTTTCATAACTTTTAACATGAAACTTGCGAGTTACATTTCCTTTTTGCTGGTTTAATTGTTGTAACTCGGGTACACACCTACCTTTAGACACAATTTTAATCTTTTCACTGAATGGCAATTGTGAGAACTTGTTATTTTTAATTTTTAATAGACATACATTATCCACATATAACTCACAATCAAATAACATTTTAAAAAAATCAACGGAACTCAGTAATAAACTGTTAAATGTACACACTTTCAAATAAAACTATAATTATACTGGCGGAAAGAAAATAGTAAACAATGCTTATCACATGAAAAAAATCAAAATGGCCCCCGCGAATAAGAAACATATCTGCTAATTAAACAAATAAAACCTTACCATATTCAAAATTCATAATCCGCATACATGATTTATTATATTTCTGACTATTGAATACATTCTACAAGAATACACTTCCGAGTATTCACGACCACGATTAGCGCGGGACCCGAACGGCCAACTGCAGTATCCTGCGGCTGTAGTCGGGGCCTGTCGGGGATATAAAATAAATGGGTGTGTGCGTTTGCGAACTGTGCACGGACACCAAAATTACTACACACATGCGAACAAATGTCCTGCGCGAGGCGACGGCGTGAGTTGCTTTCGGTAAACACCTGGCAAACAATGTTTATGTGCTGCTATTTTTAAATAGTAGGCGTTTTTAAGTTATTATATTTTGTTTTTTCATTTATTTACTATTAATTAAAGTCATCTAAAACGTACCAACGTTTTATTAAAATGTCTGTGAATAGCAAGTAAAGCACTGCATTTCTGCCTACAAGGAGCGCACGCCCTTGCCATGGTCACCTCTTAATTACAACCACGGCTTTAGTATATTCTTACTAGTATATTAATATATTTATTACCATCTTTTGCCCGCGGCTCCGCCCGTGTGTATGTCGGTTATCGCCTAAGTCCTTCCTCAAAAATCAAACTATCTCCATACTAAATTTCATCTTCATCGGTTCAGCGGTTATTGAGTTCCCATACAAACTTCCATTCCCATTTTCACCTCTGAAAGGATGATGAAAATTATCCTATGTCTTTTCCCGGTACTCGTACTATCCTTCTACCAAATTACATCAAAAACGGTTAAGCGGTTTGAGCGTGAAGAGAACAGACAGATAGACAGACAAAATTATAATATTAGGCATTTATAATATTAGTATGGATTATCGTTGATGGCGAAAGACTGATGATGGCAATTATGAGAAAGCCATGCTTCGGCGGCAATTGAACCGGCTTGATTGGAGTGATACCAAGGCATCTTTTCTTTTTTTTAGTGTTATAGTTGTGTTGTTATAGTGTTTAGCGACGATATAGGGACCATATTGTGCAAAGGCGATTCAATCCACAAGCCGGTCAAGTTAATGATGTGAAACTACCGGAAACAACTAGTAGTAGTTAAAGGGACTTCCCCTTAAATTAAACTGTGTAAATGTGTGTGTGTTTCTTTTTATACTCATTCATTCATTAACTATCTAAAATTATAGTTTTCTCAATGCCTAAGTGATACATTAGATAGGACAAAATAAATACATTAATCTATATAGATAGATTAATTATACTATACAGATAAATTACACAAACAAATTAACATTATATATATATATATATATAATGTTAATTTGGTTTGCGTACGCGTCAAAAACTCAAAAAGTTTTCCAACTGAGCTGAAGTTTTGACACGGTATACAAACCACTTCAAAGATTTGTTATCTATTTTTGTTCTTCATTTCTCATCAGAACACCCACAATTTGCCACAGCGAAGCGTGGCAGGGTACAGCTAGTTCTTTCTATCATTTTCTTTCTTTTTTTAAAAAGACAACTCCAACAACTGTCTGTCTGTTTGTTTCGGGTAATCTCTGGAACGGCTGGACCGATTTCGACGGGACTTTCACTGGCAGATAGCTGATGACATAAGGAGTAACTTAGGCTACTTTTTTTAGACTAGCTTCGCCCCGCGGCATTGCCCACGGTTATAACAACAAACGCGGGTAACACCGCGGGTCTCAGCTAGTTAGGAATATATCCTGTGTAGCGGTGGACTTTACAAACATACATGAAACGGACACAAAGAACACTCAGACTCAGAACAACAATTTGTGAACCCACAACACAGCGCAGTAGGAAGCGGCGAGGAGCGACCGCTTAAGCCACTACGCCATCCGTACAGTCCATAAAGTTTACGATGTGTCTTGTGAAAAGAGTACGTGCTATATCTATCTCGATAAAGCTACAATCCTTCGAATTCCAATTCGTGATACTCTTAAGGCGACCAATCTATTTAAAACACATGACTAATACTATTTAGATGAAACATACAAAATATAAGGTCAAAATCAAGGAGTATTAATGTAACAAGTTCTACCAGTTTTATTATTACTAAGCAACACAAAAAAAAGGGTTATTGCCTCGGAGGTTACATATACTTATTCAAAAAGCTGTCTACATAAATAAATAATTATCTGTTAACATAACACACTTACGAATATATCGTGTCCTTCGTATCGTATCATTCCTTAATTTTCCACTCTTAGAGGAGGTATTTTATCTTCAAACTTGAATTGGACCAAACGGAAATTATACATACTTTCGCAAATAGAAAAACAAAACAAATTGGTTCGTAAATAACGGAGTTCTGGAAAAAAGGCAAACGAATTGAGAAACTTCCTTTCTTTAAAGATCGTTTAAAACAAACTTCAGCTTTATTAGCATAGACAAGAATCATCAACAGCCTTTAACAGTCCACTGCTGGCCATTTACCTCTCCTTAGAAAGGAGATTTTGGCCTACTATACCACGCTAGCCAGACGTGTTGGTAAAGGGTTTGTGTCAAGTTTCCTTCTCTTTGTAGTGCTGTTGTCCCTCGTAGCTTGCTGCCTTACTCGTCTCTTACGACACTTACATGAATAAGGGTGGTGACACTCCGTATCCTTAATCCGTCACCACACGGACACGTGGTTACGAATTAAGATTAGGCGGTTCACAGAGATAAGAATAATAACATCAATATCGAACAAGAATAACAAATAGCATGTTCAAAGGTCAAGTGGAAATCTAAACAAAAAATATTTTATAAACACACGTGCTGTACTTGTAGGTTAGAACATAATTAAACCAAGTGATTATGTTACTAAATATTAAGAAAAAGAAATACCTACGTAATGGAAAAGCGTTATCAGTTACGATAGTCATCTTTACATAGTATAAAACAAAGTAGCTTTTTCTTGCACTATTAGTAGTATCTACATTGCACCCGTGCGAAGCCAGGGCGGATCATGCCTTTATATATAACTGGCCGATTGCGTGTAATGTGCTGGATTATTGTCAAGTCAAATCAGTATATTTTTATTCAACGTTAAAACTTTATATAACTTTGTATGAAATAATAAGGCGTGACGTATTTTATTAATGCGTTCAAATGGTATCATTTAAACGACATTGAAATCGTGGGCAAAAAATAGTATTTAATAAATATTAATGGTCCGGAAGAAAAACAATTGTCCGGACCTGTTCGTATATGAAAATAAACTAAAATAACGTAATTGACATGACGTCAAAGACACAATCATGCATAAAATTTTATACTGACTATACATGACCATTCTACGGTATGGCTACATCATTCCATAATTCGTTGTATATTAGTTTGTTTATCGACTTTTAAAAAGGAAGAGGTTGTAAGTTTTATGTCTGTTACCTCAAATCTCCGTCATTTGTGACCGATTTGGAAAAAAATATTTAGGCGTTATACGTTTTACATCACATCAACAGCCTTTAATAACAACAATTTGTGGATCACACAAAGTGTCGTCCCATGTGAGGTTTGAACCCACAACACTCGGTGTAGTAGGAAGCGGCGTGGCAACCGCTTAAACCGTGCTGTGTGCTGTTGCCCTGCGTAATTTGCTCCCTTCCCTTTGTTAACTTCCGCATTCAAATTTGAAAAAAGAATACCACCCTAAAGGGTGGAAAATTAAGGAATAAAGAATACAGTTTGTTGAAATTCATCATAATGTATTCTCACTGGAGTCAGTGATAATTTTTCCAAAGTTCATTATATCACATCGTACTTTTTACAGAAAAGAACTACACGCATATAACGTTTTCTCTTTCTAATTTTTTCCAGACTCACGGAGCTCCACGAATGCGAGACCGCCTCGTCTATCATCATCACGATGCTCAGCGTGGGAGTTGTCACCGGCGCGGCTGTCGGCATGTTGCTCGTGCGTTTGCTGTAAATCTCACTTTATTTTAAACCACAACTGACTAGGGATATGACATTTCATCATTTGCCTATCGCCGTTCACTGTTAAACGACCGCCTCTCTCGAGCGCCAACCATTCCGGTCTTGGACAGTCCGCAGCCATCCGCTGCCACCCATTTCACTCAACTCGTAGGTCCATCGCGGTCTCCTCTCTGGCACACGTCGACTCCAGCGACCATTAGTACGGCCCACTTCCACTTCAGCGTACTCATTCGCCGACACGTATCATTATTTAATGCTTTTGGTACCAATATACAGGGTTACTGGTTAAGTCGACCTAGATACTTTGAGAAGTTGTAGCTGCCATCATTTCTGATAGATTTCTCTGTGAAACACGTTATTTGAAAAAAAAAACAAATTTATTTCTTTTTGCTTTTATAAACCATCTACTTCGGCCCAGTTTGTTAAGTTAACTTAAATTTTGGTGATGGAAATAAACAGTAAAAAAGGATGTAAGTTGTTTGAGAGTCTTCAATAATAAGTGGACTGTATTTTATAAGTAATTTATTCGGTCGGGCGATCCAAAAGGGCAAGTGTCATGAATGTTGTCTAACAAAACGTTCGTCGCGTCGGCTCGCCTCCCCGCACCCCGCAGCGCGAGGTCCCGTGCGTTCGGATCCACGCGCAAACAAAGTTCTGAAAAAATTGTATTAGACAAAATTTCGCCAATTTTTATAAAAAATCTTAATAGTCCATATCTTGAAAAGAGTTAGGTTTGAGATATGGTATTTCATAAGGAAATATATTAATACTAATGGCAAACTTCAACCCCCAAAAGGATCTACGTCGACTTAATCAGTAACCCTGTAAAATATTAAAACTGCGTAATCTACGATTAGTGCGGAAGAAGGGTGGCCTGTCCGTGTTATATGAGCATATCGATATTAAACTGTGTCGTATAGTATTTTATATTAAACATACTCTCACGCCAAATAAAAAACCCAGATTTTGCCTACCATAAATTTAAACCATCCAATCAGTTCACTCATATAAATATTTGTGTTTAAAAGACACATGGGCTGAGCCCGTATCGTGTAAGATGGGTAATCAGATAAATGTTGTTGTACAAAGATATCAAATTTAAGAATAACAAACAAAACAATGTTTCCGAAATAGTTGTATGCTGCCGTATGCGGCTCACGTCTAGATCACATTAGAAAACCTGTCCTAATCGTTATGACTGGATTTGAAGCGTACGAGTACATACTAGCCATCATCATCATCATCAACAACAACAGCCTTTACTAGTCCACTGCTGGACATAGGCCTCTCCTTAGAAAGGATGTTTTGGCCTACTATACCACGCTGGGTACATACATATAGGGTTTGTGTCAAGATTTCCTTCTCTCTGCAGTGCTGTTGTCCTGCGTAGTTTGCTCCCTTAGTCGCTTTAACGACACCCACGGGATGAATAAGGGTGGTGACACTGTATTCTTAATCCGTCACCACACGGACGGATTAAGAATATATAATATTTCATACTAGCCATTACATCAAAATTAGTCTTGTATCGTCTTAGATTAGATCCATATATTAATCTTAGACGAAAAAGGGCGCTTTGCAGAACATCTCCGACAGTTTGCTCCTAAGCTCGTTAGCACTGTATACGAGTATACCTTTAAAGTTGGTTATCGAAGTAGGTATCTCTTTTTAATGCCTATATGTAATACATAAAATATCCAACTTATTTATACGCTATAGCGCTATAGGGGCTCGTGGCTAAGTGGTAACCGAGTAACACATGGCAAAGTTAAGCAATCAAAGCAGGTCAGTCTATAGATGGGTCTTAACACATTGACCGTTGCCAAACGAACAACTACTCGTTATGATTATGGCAATCATAACGAGTAGTTGGGAGTCCTAAAAAGTAAAAAAATAGTCTATCTACAGAGTTTCGATATCGCCTAGTTACTTAGGTTGTTTAGGTCTGATGGCCGCTCCACTAAAAATCGAAGTTCCGCCGTGTCGTGTTCATCCAAACCTAATTTGGGAAAAAGTTTCAAAGATTATGATTTATACGCTACTCGTCTAAATGACTTAAATAGTGGTTCGGTTAAGCTGGCCCGGATGTCTTAGCCATGTGGTTTGAGTCGGTTCGATTTCGACTCTCCGTTCCACCGCAAACCCCGGTTGGGGTCGGATCGAGGAGGTTACCACGGTACAAAAAATAGGTCAGGTTATCAAACGCAGTCTCTGCACTGTTACGATAGATGTAGGTCCTGTATACTGTCGAAACACCACCGCATATAATAAAGCTTGTGAATTTTTAATCAATTCATGTATAGGACATACTCATGTTTTTTTTTACGTATGTAGCATTTTGTTCATGTAAATTTATTTAAGGAAAGGCGACTTATTGGACACCAAAGTCTAAAAAACCTCGGGAACTCAAAACTATTATAATAAGGTGTCGATTCCTAATAGGTAGGTAGTTAGAAATGAAAGCCGATATCACGATCTCCTTAAACACAAGGTTAACAATATAATAAATGATTATTTTTATTAGTATGTATAATAAAATAAAAAAAATGTACGTGTAGTTGATATTGTGAAGGCTTAGGTTTAAAAATATTTTATTTGCAACTTTAAATAAACTTCGTCGACTCTCTACTGCCTGCTGCATTTTCATCTGTTGTATATAAACACATTTTGGAATGCATTTTCAGTTAAAATTTTATACGGTTTTTTTTTTTATTTGCCATACAACTTTTATTTCTTACTAAAAGTATGTTACATAAACGACACAGGTAAAGTTAAAATGCGATCAATATTTAGGTGAAAGTTACCAATATTGAACCGACTCTTAAATAGGACCACTTCTGGGAGTGGTGAGTGGAGGGGAGGAGCGTTACAAAATGACGGAGTATTAGTGGCGCTGCTAGCACTCCTTTTTGTGTTGCTAGTGTAAAAAATTGTGCCATATTGGAAGAAATACAGAAGAATTTAAGCGCCGATTCAATATTGGTTACTCACCCCTATATTATATGCTTTTGAATTTCATACACATTTACCATCTTTTTAAGCTATTGCATAGCTTCTATCGCGGGCCTTGAGCGTGGAGACCGAATCCAGAAATTCCGTAACGAAAATAACCTAACACACACCACGTGATACTTTTTAGTTTTGCCATCTATCGATGAATAGCAGAACTTTTGATGACTTTTTTGAAATATCACGCTTGTCTCTTTAGTTCAGCAACTGGCCTTTAGGTGGCATTGGTTGTATCGTCGTTACTGCGCATGCGTAATCCCCCTCTTCGCCCCGCAATCTAAATAATATCAAAGAAAAAAAAACAAAGGAAAAAAATACTGCATAAATAAAATAAATAAATAATTATAATTGCATAAGTTGATAAAAAATGCTATGCAATAGCTTTACCGCGGCAGTCCCCGAGTGCCACACGTCTTTTTTTACAAATAAGATTTGCGTTTTGTGTTGAAGCGATTTTTATATTTACCATTAGCCTTGCCAAGTGTATTATTATACACGAATTGTACATAATTGTCCTATTTAGAAATACTCAAAATCAAAAGAAATTAATGTTTATTTAAAATATTTCAAAGTCATGTATCCTCGGCTTCTGAGGGCGTAGTGTGAGTTCATTTTACATCTACTTAATCGTCACGGTGTCCGCGTTCGGCGCTGCGATTGGCCCACACTGAAATCTTAACCAATCGCAACGCATCGCATCGAGAGCGAGTTGATGTGAAATAAACTCGCACTTGGGCCTCGGAATGAGTATTACTGATGGTAATGTTAGGCGGGTATTCGGAGAAATAATTTTATTATAAATAATTCTAAAAATGATTTATATTACTATATATTCTTGTAAATGGAAAAACAAAAAAACATTTTGTAGTGGACCGAATTGTAAATCCAAACCATTCTGGAATACACTTAAACACACACAAAAAAAAATATCAAAATAGGTTCAGCCGTTTATTTTTCAGGTTTAGGTTCAGTCACATACACTCGCACAGAAGAATTATATATAAAGGTATTACAGGCATGGATCTAAAAAGAAAACTGATGGATCTACACAACTCAGTAATATTTTACTACATTTATTTCTCTGAATACCCACATGCGAAAACCATAGTGACCTATTAATTTAATTAGTAAACAAAAACTATATTAAGTTTAACGTGATGTTGTGTATTGTGTACATATTATTCAAAATTAGCATGTCGCGCTTGCTGTAGTTAAGTAAAATTTGTTGCCGATGCTATATCGATAATTATCATATCGATGATACATACAGTTTATACAGTGATTATTACATAGTATTTAATTTGTGACTCCTGAGTTACAGTTCATGGGCGGCGATGGTCACTTTCCATCAGGTAACCCGTCTGCTCGTCTGCCCCTCTAACATAAAAAAAAAATACTGTATCTCGCGTACGTATACGTTTGCAGTTATTATATGTTTATAGTTATTAGATGCGTTTCGCATAATTTGAGATTAATGAGATGTGTCCGTCAAATCTCAGTTCACGCTTAGGCAGACATTACATATCTAGCAAAATACATATGTATGTAACTTATTAAACTGGGTGCTAAACACGTTAGATATGAAGTCAGTTGATGGTGAAATGTAATCTTACGTCAACAGATGGCGTGGAAGGCACATATTTGTTTTTCTCCAAAAAAGTGAATATGCTTCATATTGTTCTAAATTTGAAGAATATGTTGCAAGAAATTTTAAATGCAGGTTTCATAAATCTACATCGGTGTATAGAACTAATTGATTTCAAACAAATACTTTATCCTTAAGCAAAAATGTTGCTAAATATCAAAAAATGTACCAAAGTATAACAAATGTATATTCTTGTAAATTTTCCTATATTTTTATTTTAATCCAATAACCAATAGAGTTATTTTATAACATTTAACAGCTCAATGTTTTATTTAACTAGAGAACAAGTCTCGTTTTGTATTCTACGAATAAAATAGCTTATAATGCATAGTACAAGT